ACTTGGGTCTGTTTCTGGCTTTTCTGTTGTGTTTCCATGGTCTGTCTGTACTCTGGGCCAGTGCTGTTTTAATTACAGAGCCTACCTTCGCCTCCCCTCCCACCCAACCTCCCTTGCTCTTCTATTTCAGGATTTCTGTGCTTGTTCTTGCTTGATTGTTCTTCGGAAACTGAGTTTATGTTCAACTCGAAGACGTACGCATAGGAAATCTGGGATACACTAAAAGTCAGCTGGGGAAAAATAGACTTTTTATAAAGTGATGTTGGCATAACTAAATAACCGTATGGGAAATGACAAAATCGGATCTTCTCCTTACTGTTCACAAGGATAAATTCCAATTTACATTCAGATCACAACCTAAGGGTAAAAAATGAAAACAAACACGTACTAGCAAAAATATGAGTGAATTTCTCAATGTATTATGAGTGGGCCAAACCCTCCTAATTATGTCTCAAAATCCAAGGGAAAAGACTTATAAACCTGATTACTTAAAAATTAAAAATTTGTCCAGCCCATGTATGCAAAAAATGCAAAAGAAGCAAAGTTTGACAATGACAATCTGAGAAAAAATATTTGTAACCTATTACAAAGGGTTAACGTTCCTAAAATATGAAGAACTTTACAAATAAAGAAGAAAACAGCCAGCAAACCTATAGAAAAACGGGCTGAAAAAATAAATAGTTCGTTCTCAGGAAAAGAAATAGGAATAGCTCACAAACATATGGAAACGTGCTCTGCCTCACTCATAATAAAAGAAACACAAATGAAAGCTACACTGAGATACCATTTCCCACTCATTGGCAACAGCCAAACATTTGACAACATACTCTCTTGGTGAGAGAATGTAGGGGAAACAGGTACTCTCATATATTGCTGATTATTATACAAAATGATACAACCCCTGTGAGCAGGAATTTGGCAACATCTGCCAAAATTACCTGCATATTCACCTATTGATCCAACAATTCCACTTCTAAAGATCTATCTCAAAGATACTGGGGATACAACGACAAATGCTGAACAGACATATGCACAAAACTATGTTATTCCAGCATTATTTTTAACAACAGAAGACTGGAAATAATCAAAATGTCCACCAATAGAAGAATTGTTGAACACACTAAAGTACTATGAAACCGGGAAAAAAAGAAATCAAATAATTCTATATATTCTGCTAGGGTATGGTTTCCAGAATATGTCCTTTTCAAAATCAAAAATGAAGGAGTGGAGAAGAGTATACTATACTACTTCTATCTAAGAAAGTAAGGAGAGACTTTTTTTTATGGCTTTGAGGTAAAATTGACATGCAATAGACTACACGTTTTAAGTGCACAATGCACATTAATGGCTGAGAAGCAGAAGAAAAGAAATAAACATAAGAGTGTAAATCGGTGAAATAGGAAACAAGAAAAATGAGTGAAAACAAAAGCTGGTTCTTGAAGTTAATAAAATTGATTAACCTCTAACCAGAGCGATCAGGAGAAGAAAAGAGGAGACACAAATTACTAATATGAGCAATCAGGGAGGGACATCACTACAGATTCTGCAGCTATTAAAATGATAAAGAGGAGGGACTAATATGAATAATTTATGCCAATTAATTTAACAATTTAGACGAAATGAAGAAATTCCATCTAAGACACAAATTGCAAACGCTCGCTCAAGAAGAAACAGGTAACCTCAATAGCCTTATGACTATTCAAAAGTTGAATTTATAGTTAAAAATCTTTCTACAAAGAAAACTCCAGGACCAGATGGCTTCCCTGGTGAATTCAATTAAATGTATAAGAAAGAAATAATACTAATTCTATACAAACTCTTCTAGAAAATTGAAGAGTGGGAAAATACTTCCTAGCTGATTGTATTAAGCCAGCATTAGCATAACAAAACCAAAGACATAACAAGAAAAGCATAGACCGGTATCTATTATGAACATAAGCACAAAAATTCTAAACAGAATTTTAGCAGATCAAATCCAACAGTATGTAAAAAGGATAATACATAATGACCAGGTATGCTATATCCAGAATGCAAGGGTTTCTTTAACATTAGAAAATAAGCGTAAGTCACATGTTAACAAACTTTGAAAAGAAAATCCGTATGTTCAGCTCACAGACACAGAAAAGGATTTGAAAAAATCCGACATTGATTACTGATATTTAAAAAAAACAACACACTAGGACTGGAAGGGGGCTTCAAATAGCTCTCTGAAAGACTTCGAGCCAGCGTCACAGGTAACGGTGAATGACCGAATGTTTCCCCGTAAGATCAGAACAGGGATGTCCACTCTCACAGCCTCCAGACAGCACTGTAGTGGGCACAGTGAGGCAGGAGCCGGTGCACTAAGGTAGGAAAAAGAAACAGAAAGCATCCAGGTCGGGAAGGAAACAGCAGAATTGTCTTTATTTGCAGATAAGCTGAATGCCTGTGATTAAAATCTGATGGAATCTACAAAACGCTACTGGAGCTAATGAGCGCATT